AGAAGCATCCCACAAAGCTTGCACTTAATGCGGGAGGTCTTCCTACTGCTACCCGACCTCTCGGTGGAGGTGTGGGGGCATGTGGCCTGGTCTATGACAGGCTTCTCTTTCTTCGTCTTGGTGACGGTGCCGCATTTCTTACAGGTCCGCATGTCTATGTATGCGTTACTCCCCGACTTGTTGAACTCCTTGCAACCTCCCCGGCATTTCCGGGGGCCTTCGCTGGACGGAGCAGCTGACGCGGCGAGGCGAACCTCGGGCTGAAAGGGTTCAGGCGGGGGTTCCTGGCTGAGAGGGACATCCCTTCTCGTGATGCTAATGGGGTTATCATCACGCACATCAAAGTACTCCGTGACCCAATCCAAGAAATCGGCCAAATTTATGGATGGGCACTTCTGCGTGCGTCCCCAAAGAACATACCCAGGAAACGTATACAAGACACGCTCATAAGTCAGACCCTTATGCTGACCAAAGGAGAAAACGCGATCGGAACCCTCAGGCGGGCTGTCACGCATGATCCCAGCGGCGGCTGTGCGCCGAAGCTGTGGTGAGAAGAGGGTTTCATTGCCGCGGCCTTTGCCGGTATTGGTCTTTGAGGGAGTCAGCTCAAGGTTGGCTGGGTAACCCTCGAGCCTACCAGCGCTCGCATTCGACAGATGGACACACTCTGTGTCATCCTCCTCCACTGCGGCGAAATACGCCTGAGGCTTCGGCGTCGCCGACTTTGCGGCTGCGTTGGCAGTTCCCCCAGACTGTGCTGGGGTTGTGGTGCCCTTGGGGCCATTGCCCTTACCGCTAAACTTGCAGGCAGCATCTCCGGCCCAATGGCCGATCACACCGCACTTCAGGCACCTACTCTTTGCCTTAAGCTCTGCTAACTTGGCCTTACGGTCAGCAATGGTCAAATTGCTACGCACGACCTTCCCTCCGGATTTTCCGGGGGACTTGCCCTTGTTCTTCCCCTTTCCTTTTCCTTTCGCCTGGGCAAAGGCGGTCTGTGCCGCGTACGCAAGCTGAACTGACTCGGCATAGGAATCATCCAAATCGTCAATCTCAGCTTCATATGCCACTGCCGTATAGGCGTTGAGTTGCAATGCTAGATCCTCATCATCAATCCATTCATCCGCATCATCTCCCCCAGACGCTGTGGCCTGGTATGCTTCTTCGCCGTAGCCGTCACCGTAGCCTTCCGCGGATTCCTGTTGTTCCTGGTAACCATACTCTGCGGCACTACCATCATACCCCATATAGCCGAACTTAGGGTATTGGGGCTTAGCGTCGAAACGTCTCCAGGTCTTACCTGGGCCACTAGGGTCCTTCTGGGTAAGAAGACGTTCCTTCATGTGCACCACTGAGTGATGCTGAACAAGGACGCGTGCGTACTCATCCACGCTGTGTACGCGGGCGGCGGTCTTGACCATTAGCTGCTCGGACCTTTCCAACCCTGAAAGCTCAACAAGGAGATTAGCCCTCATTGCTTCAGAAAGGCGGATATCAGGATCCAGCTCACGCAAGGTCGACCACCACCGCTTTCGGCGGGCTATGTAAGACAACATAGGCTCGCCGGGTTGCTTTGCAAGTGGGCCCGTCAGGAGCTGTCCCTGACGGAAAAGTTCGGACGCCTCTTCGGATTGAAGAGGGAAGGCTTGCCTCCTGATTTCTTCTATCAGGTAGTCGACGCCGTCATGGCGAAGCAGACGTTCCAGGCCGACGTCGCGAGCGATGCAAAAGGCATCTCCTCGGAGACCCTCTAGGATCTTGCTAACGCATTCGCTCATGTCGAGCGACTCGTCCTTGACGTCTTGCAAGGTGTACACCGCCGGATCTGTGTCCGGCTCTTGCTCATCGTCGCCCGCCACTTGGCTGGGGTGCGACGGTAGCGACTCCGCATCCTCATCTTCTGCCTCGGACGCGGGCTTAGTCCGTTTTGCGCTGGACGGACTGGCGGGTATACCGCTGCTTCCATCACCATCTGTGGGCGACGCACTGGTCCCCTGACTTGCCCTGCCACGCCACTTCCTTGGTGACTCGCTCTTGGCCCTTGCCGACTCGGCAAAACGCAGGTCCTTAAGAGCTTCGCGCCGCTGCTTCTCCTTATGCTGCAGCACACGGATCTGTGTCCGGAAGCACCAATCATGGAAGCCAGCAGCCGTACCGTCGTATATGTACGACCCGCTTTTGGTTTCTGCAGGGCTCAGGTTCTGTGACCAGAGATTGGGCTGGTAACGCAAACCTGCCACGCTCATGGCTTCGAGGATAGAAGGGGCCTTTGCGCCGCGACTATCACTACACTACCCAACGGACCCCGGACCACAGGCTCAACGGGGGTGAAACACTAGTGGTTGTCCTCACAGCTCCGCTACCAGTTTGAAGCAGGAACTGGATTAGTGAGTGTCCAACCACACAAACGAGCACACTTTTTGGTCTGAGCCCAAGACGTCTGTCGTACAGGGTGCGTTCAGAACTAACACAAAAACTACGCTCGCATGAGGACATGTCAACACGGCGCTTCAAGACAGGGAAATTTCACAACCCTAAACCCTAAGAGGCACTGGAATCCGGCAGATCATCTCCTTAAACTTTCACCCAAAGCCTTGAGCCCTAAATACTGAAATTCTACAGCCCTAAAGCCCAAATCCTGAAACTTTAAAGCCCTAAACGCTAAAAACCCTGGACCCTAAACACGTGAGAGGCCTCTCAATCTCGGCCAGGAGTGCAGCGACCTGCGGCGGGGCGCCCACTCACGGTGAGGTGGCCGAGGGTGCTCGTAGCTTTGACGGTTTAAGGTTTAGGCGGTTTAGGGTTTGAGGATTTAGGGTTTTAGGGTCTAAGTTTTAGGGTGAGAATTTTGCACGGATTTTGCCGACCCCACCATTGACCAGCACAAGCTTTTATCGTTTAAAATTCTAAATGTCGGCTGTGCCCAAAATCAAAACTTCGTTACTTTTCGTTTGTCTGGGGCTCTATGACGCTGATCGACATGTCCGTGAGGCTTGGCACTTCAGAGCATGTTAATGTGTTTTAAAGCTTCAAGGAGCGAGATGGAGGGTGCGGTGCAGTTTCTCGGATGTTGGGGCTGTTGCTGCTACCCCCGTCAAAGGCGAAATGTCTGCAAGCATCTCATTTCGTTTTGGAACAGATTCAACACCCCGCAAACCCTAAACACTGAAAGCCCACAAGCAACATCAAAGATTTACCTTAACATCTCAACCTGATGCCTAAACACCAACACAAAACATCCTTCATGTAGGGGCCTTAATCAATTAGAATTGGGTTTCGGGTTGTATCATACTATAATCATAATAAGGACCCCCAAGAGAGCATAGGTAATCATTTAGGCCACTGCATTAACCCAAACGCCCCTGCAGCTGCAAAGAGCGTTTTTTTCGCGGCTCATCAGCTCCTGGAGGCATTTGTGTCGACACCTTCCAATTACAGTAGAAGCCCAAAAGTTGGAAACCCAATAGCCTCAATCCTAAAGAGTAAAGTATAGGTAGTCCCAGCCCAGCACTATTTGGCCTCAATCCGGTTTCCAATTTTATGGGGTTTAATGTATGTAAGCCCCTAGGCCATGTTCACCTTTTCTATCACGGCCGTAATACCGGATTCTCATTACACTCCTGATTAAGGGTGGGGTTTGTTATTCCATAGCCTGCATAGCGGCTGACATTGGTCCGCGAGGGTAACTGCAGTGTTTCTGTCACCAAGCCCTTTACCGGAAAAAACTAAGCCATCTGCAATCATGACACCCTGCAGTCCTATAGCCTGTAACATAGGGGCCTTAATATTTAGAATAGGCTTTTGGGGCCCATTATACTATAACTATAATAATGAAGCCCCAAACTAGAATAGGTGATCATATTGAGCCCCTATATTAGCTGCAGCTATCGTGCATCACAGAACCGGTGCCGAGGCCCAGAGGAGGCTGAGCGAAAAGCATGGGCAGGCACCTCAGGATTTTGGCTTAGGGCTTTAAGGCTTTCGGGTTTTAGGGCTTTAGGGTTTAGGAGGCTTCGAGAACGTGGCCGAGGGAACGGGCAGATATGGGTTCAAGGTTCCAAGGCTCCAGGATAAGATTTTGAGCATTGGGCTTTGGGGGGGTCAGATAGTATAATAATTACCCATACTATTCTTCTTTTTTTTTTTTTTTGGGGGGGGGGTTCTTTATTAAAGATATAGCATAATGGGTATCAGATAGCAAAAGAGGAGCCTGCATCGTGAGAACCTGACTAGTGCGGAAGTCACAGGCAAATGTTAGACTGTCCAAGCTGCGGCAACGAGCCAAGTAACTCGAACAAGGTTTGGGGGCATGTCATGTCTAACCAAGGTACTCTAGACACTAGGCAAACGACGATGTGATGTCAGTAGCTATCGGTGCTTATCGCTGTCTTTCAATAGTTACTTCCACTTGTTGGCCACGAAGTTATCTTCAAATAAGCTTCATGTGCAAATGCTCCAGATGCATGCCGAATGCTGTGAAATCTCCAAGCCCTGCAGACGTGAAACTTTGGGAACTGTATGAACAAAGATCAGTCATTCGGCGGAAAGCATACAACCTTCATCCCAACGCCAGTAGTTGCAAAGGTCAAGGTGGAACCTCATTGCACGGGCTTCCTGCGCAGGGTTACAGCACAAAAAGCCAAAGTCGAAGGGGATGCTTCAGTACAACCACGAGCGAACAAGAAACTCAACACTTCCTTTCCGCTACCATCGTCTGTTCATCATGGAGTGTGGGGGCTTTACATAATGAGAATAGGGCTTGGGGGTATACTATACTCCAACTGTAAGTAGAATGCGAAACACCAACATAGTTTCGCCAAGGCCCAACGTAAAGCTTGGGATCCTGACCCTCTAGCCCGGCCATGAGGGCCCGAAACCCGGAAACCCGAGCCATGAAGGGGAAGCCAAGACCAAACATCTAAACTCCAAACCCTGCGGCCTAAACCACAAAGCCCAGGGCCTACACCTGAAATCCTAAGGCCTTAGTGCGTCCAGGACGCTTATCTTGCCAGAACATCTTGCAGGAAGGCCTGAGTGGTGGTGGATATGGGCGTTTCCGAAAATAGGGGTACCTTATTTAGGGATCCTTACAGTAAGGACCCTACTATTTAGGGTACTCTATGAGGGTCCCCTATTTTCGGAAACTCCCATATGGGCGTTAACTTAATCCACATCTTTGTGAACCTGTATTTATGTACAGTGTATACGTGAACAACGAAGGGGCTAGGGATCTGGATGGCCGGCTGATGGTTTCAGCAAGTGGACAACATGAACAGGCTCACAATGCTTGTCACCGGAGAAAGGATGCATGATAAATGGCTATGACGATGATGGTGATGATGCTGCAGCTGCTACGACTCCTACTAGGTCCCACACGCACTCCTAGACGACGTTGAGGACAACGACGTCGACCACGACTGCAATTCCGGCGACTGGTACGAATGAGGCTTAGCCTTTACCTTAAAATCCTGTCTAAACCTCTCAGCTCGAAATTCTTCCCGACCCGATCCCGAAATCTACATCCCTCAGCTCGAAACTCGAAATCCTTTCCCGAAATCTAGCTCTAACAGCCCCAAACCTGGAAAGGCGGAAGTCCTCCAGCCGCATACCCAGAGGCTCCATATATAGTACCATTATCGTATTAGGTCCCCAAAGCCATAATATGGATGGTCTTTTGGGACCTCATTCCATAAAGGTACTGTATATGGAGCCTCTAGGATACTGCATGTCAAGACACACCGGCCCTCCACCTCGCTTTGCTCGAAGGAAGATCCTGCACGGCGGACAGGGCGAGTCTTGCTTTGAGTAGAAGCCAGAAAGTTGGAACATCACTTTAGGAGGATTAGTGCTAGGATCCCTTATACTTTACCTTAAGGGCATGAGGATAATGATGTTCCAACTTTCTGGCTATTGCTATTTAAGGTTCAGGGTTTATAGGGGCCGAAGAGCCCCGTGCCTTCGACAAGTGTGCGGCTTGAGGAGCTTAGCTCTGAAGCGCCCTTCAGATGAAACCGACCAAAACGATATGTCTAACAGTCTCTTCGAGTTTGACAACAACCCGGTTCAGGGTTTAGGGTTTTGGGTTTAAAGGTTAGGGTTTAAGGAAAATCTCCAGAAGCAGTGCTCCATCCGATGTACCTCCCGCCCGCACTTCTGAGGCGCTGACTAGCTAAGACCAAAGCGCGGAGGTGTCTAAAAAAAACCAAGCACCATAAGAGGGGTTAGGGTTTTAGGGGACAAACATCCTACACCCAAAACCACCCAAGTCCGACACCCTAAGCACCTACATCTCTGAAGCCCTAATGCCTTGAACTCATGCAAAACTACCACTTTCCGAGGCGCCTCTTCCCGAAGGCCTTTGGCAGCCAACACGTCCGCCAACTCTTGCTGTAGATCCTCTCACTGTACTTGGAGGATCAGGGGACTTAGTAAATAGGGCTATAAGTACCCTAATTGGGGTTACAAGTAATAATAAATATAGATACCTTATTAATAACCCTAGTTACTAAGTCCCCGGATCCTTTAAGTAGGCTTCAGTTCAAGGATTTTGGGCTTAGGGTTCTGTGTTCTTGACTGCACAAGTTCACTTGCCACAATAGGAGTATCTTGTGGATACTTAAGTGGGTGGTTTTCAATATTAGGGTCCCTTTTTGGGTCCTGACTTTCATACTTTAATACGGCAACTAATGTTTAGGGTACCCAAAAAGGGACAATAATTTCGACAACCACCCAAGTTGACCTCCATGGCAGACACCCAGCTGAAGAGGCTGCGAGCTACAGCTTCACAGCTAGGAAGGTGTTGGGCCCGGGCATAATACAGGGGCCTTAACAATTAGAATAGGGTTTTGGGGCCCATTAGGGGCCCATAATACCATAAATACAATAAGGAACCCCAAAAAGTAATTAGTATAGGTAACTATTAAGGCCCCCCCCATAGTAGATCCCTAAGCCCTTAAGCTTGAGGGCCAAGGGTCGTAGGGCTTCGGAGTCTCGGGGTTCGCCTTCAAAGCTGAAGGCTTCGCCGTGAAAAACGCCAAAAATCCAAAACTCTGCCCTAAATCTTATACCCTAAACCAATAAACCCAAAACCCAAATAAAAAACTCTAAAACCCCGAAACTAAAACTCCTTAAGCCTCAACCGCGAACCTTAAAGAGCCGAAAGCCTTTGCGACAAGTCGGGGAGTCCAGCTCGGGGCTTCTTCGGCTTCTGAGAGGATTTCTTGTCTCGCTTGGGCCTTCAAAGACCTTGAGCAAGATTCGTAAATCAGATCCTCTTGGGCCCAAGAAGGAAAACTATGAAAGATCCCAAAGGCCTACCTAGTTCTGGATCTGGGTGCTTGGAGACCTGAAACCTTTGTAGAAGATCGCGGGATGAAGACGGACGCTCACGTAGTGAGCAGACTGATGATCACGACCATGGTCCGCAATCGAGGTGCATCTACAAGTAACTGAACATCAGCGTTTCAGTCGGTTCATCACCTTCGTCAATCATAAGAACCAACATCATTATCATAGTCACCAGCATCACCATCACCATATTCATCATCTTTATTTTCATCGTCATAAGCAACATCATGGTCAAGCAAGACCCGAGCACGACAACCAGCACGACAAACACCGAGACCACCAAGATCACCAAAACCATCAATATCACGAACATCGCAAACACAAAACCGCCAACGTCACCATCACCACCGCCACAACCACCACGAAATCAATCAAGAAACAACAAAACAACAACACAATGACAACACTAATACCAAGAACAACAAAAGCAGCGGCATTATCAGCATCGGCAACGCAATGACTTCGACAACGATCCGGTCATCGTCGGCGTGAACATCATCACCATCGTCGGCATCATCACTGTCATGATGTTCATGAGCAGTAGTATCACCATCATTGTCGTCTTCATCGCAGTTGCACATTGGAACACGACATCACTAATGACCATATGCACTGGCACGAGGGAGCAGAGTTAAGCCAAGACTTTCCGGTGAGCAGTCCTCCACGCGCCGCAGCAAAGACTGGGTGTACCTGGGAACTGCTGGGTTGCGGGCTGCTCCAACAAGGGGCCGAATTTCCGGAGCCCTCAAAAGACATGTGTAGCTAGAGTTGTACACTATGTTTTTGTCAATCTCAGGAGTGCCATGTCTAGAGAAACCTTCCAGAAATAGGAGAACAAGTGAAACAAACAGGACTGAAGGATTTATGGGAAATAGGAAATAACAACATAGGAAAACATAGGAAAGGACATTCAATAAGAGAAAAAAAGGAATAACATAGAATAAAAATTGGAATAACATTAGGAGAAACCTAGAAGAAACATAGGAATAAACTTTGAGAAAATAGGGGAACAATACGACATGTAGGGAAAACTAGGGGTAATAGGAACATAACACAGGGCCGCAGGGCGGAAAGTGGTGCGGGGAGTGCGGGCAGATCCTATTTTTCTCCTGTTTTATTTGTATTTCCGAAAAAACCAGGATTCCGATTTTCTTCCTATTCTTATCATATTTTGAGCCACTTGCACTCTGACTAGAGTTAGCACCAGAGATTGACATAACACTAAGTAAGTCTAGAAGCGAACTTTCTGAACATATCCAAGACCGATGCCTCGCAAATGTCAGATCCATGTTATTGGTGTCTTCAGCCGGTAGCGCTATGGTGCAGGATCCGTACAGGATCAAACTGTATGCAAGGAGTTCGGCTAGGAGTTACGAACTGTGGAGGCGCTGTTGACTCAGCTCCATGGCGCTGGATTTCAGACAGAGATACAGAAACACGACCCTTCAGAACACGTTCAAAACATTCCAGACCCCTCTAGAATGCGTGTCATCATCCTCTATGTAAACTCACAGGAAATTAAAGCCCTGTCAAGTCTAGAAACGAAACCAGGTAAGATACGTCTATAACAGTGAGTTAGAACTTATAACACAGAATACATAAGATGATGAACATAATAATACAAAGATACACACATAAAACTAACAATTATATACAAGTGCGTATATGTATACACACATATACGTGTGTCTATGGCTGTATATATGTCTTCGTATGTGTATACGTGTATCTGTATACCTAACTATAACTATATAGTAGTATGCATGTGTGTGTACGTATATTTTCAAGTATCTGTATGTGTACATGTACATACAAGGCATACGATATTCCCAATGTACTTATGTAATTATTCAATTAGTAGAGCTGGCGGAGGAACTCGTCGTCGTCTTCCGCCACAGCGTCAGCAGGTGGGTCATCCATCGGCTGGTCCCAGGAACCCTGCCAGACGGTTTAGAGTGTCGGGTTAAGGGTTTAGGGAGGCTGTCCACAAATCCAGGGCGGTAGGAAGTTTTCGAGGTTTTATGCGCTCAAAACACAACGAAGGCAGCCCAAAAGACAAAGACAAACTACTCAAATCAAGACACACCCTTTCCTCGACGAAAGTCTTCTGGCTGCCCTATGTGTAGAGAATTCCCGCCGCTTCTCCCTAACAGACACCTTAAACTCTGCGACGTTTGAACAACCCTAAAAGCCTACATAGCGCCATGCTCGACAGAAGGCCCTAATGCAAGCGCGCAATGTGAGTGTGTTGAATGGTTCAGAGCACCACCTTGCGGTAATCACGGCACCGTTCTGGGTTCACCAGGAAACTTCCGGCGGGGATCACGTGCCTACGGCTCTACATGAGACCTAATTCTGCCAATCTGAAAGACTGGTTTTGTCTCTGTGAGCAGTCGGTGCATTGCCGAGTGAAACGTGAAAGGAATCAGGACCAGACCACTGCTTTTCGCAGTACTGAGGTGTGGAATTTGCCTGAAGAAAACCCTTTCACAACTATCCTCAGAGCCTCCGGGAATATACAAAAAAGGCCGTATCAAAGTACAGATTACGAATTAGTACTCACATCTACTCACCCTTTTTCATCGTGAGGGTTCGTCGTGTGGATTCTTTCACGTTCGTCTCTGGCTGCTTCTGCCAAACGTCGCCGTCGTCCCAAACAAGCTCATCCTTGTCGTTGAACCTAAGTGATTATCGCTCGGACTCTGTGGGAAACGATAAGCACAGAACAACCGTTTAGGAATATCATCGGAATAAGAAAACCTGCCACCCGAATCACCCGAACGCCTACACTCCCCAAATCCCCAACCGCAAAGAACAACAGGAAAGAAACCCAAGCCCCACAAGCCACTCAGCCTAAACACTAAACTCCCCAAGCTCTAACCAGCCCTCCACTCTGAACCCTCAACCTAGTTGCTGAGTTCATAAGCCCCCAAAAGTGTACACTTTCAGTTTTATAGTGGGCAAGTACACCTTCAGTTTTACAGTGGGTAATATTTTCCCAAAAAGGTGTAAAGTGTATCCACTCAGCTACGAAGTCAAAAGCTTCAAGGCCCAAGAGATCCCAGGCACCAAGCTGTGAGCTTCTCTCCCTCCACTTCCACGGCAATCTTGTCGGAGCTCACCACCGTTATGTCAACGGGTGGCGATTTAAACCTGTGCGGCAATTTCTGCTCGAAAACTCTACAGGCGTACGGTTAGGACTTTTAGGGTTGCCGGTGCAATATTGAGAGTTTAGGCTTCGTGTTTCAGGCTTGGGGGTGGCGCCATGAAAACCCGAAAACCCTTTACTAAACCCGAAACCCGGAACCTCTGTACTCCCTAACCATTCAGACTGTGCAAGAGGAGCATCCTGGTCAATGCGTCAGGTCCAAGGCAGTGCAGCCCCAACCTTTTAATTTATGTTTCAAGGCTGCTCGGTTGCTTTAAACAGTCTTCACCGGTGTTTTCTGTAGGCAGTTTACGGTTTAGGTTTTAGGCTTTGGAGCTTATTTGGGACAGCATGACACACTCTGTGCCCGCAAGTCCCCGCAGACTAGCACACCGAGTCACAGAGACACTCGCGGCTGCCTCTCTTTCTCTCCCTGAACACCCTAAACCCTGAACCCTAAACCCTGAACCCAACCCTAAACGCTCATCCCAAAACCCCTAAAAGGCCCGTAAACCCCCCAAAGAACTGAACTTAAAGCCTGAACCCCAACCTCCAAGCCTAAGCCCGAAAAGCCTGCGACCTAAAACCCTAAACCCTAAATGTACCCCATATGCACTACGTCCCCTATGTTCCCTATATCCCGTATATCCCCTATACACCCTAGATCCCCTAAACCCTACATACACTACATACCCTAGTTACCCTATGTGCCCTACATCCCCCTATATCTCCTACACACCCGCAAAACCCTACACACCCTAAACCCCAAACCCCAAACCACACAACCCTAAACCCTACACCCTGGAACCCTAAACGCTACGCCCTGGAACCCTCAACCCTACACCCCACACGCTGGAATCCTAAACCCCAAGCCCCAACCAAGGACCTCTTGGCCCAGCTGATCTTCTGAGCAAAGACCTGGGCTTTGGGAGTACCAGGACCCCCAAGTACCCTTAAATAGAGCCCTTGTGGTCCTTAATAGTGGGTATTTGGGCTACAATAGAGGGTAGTGGGGTCTAGGTAACCTATAGTCTCCATTGTAGTTCCTTTTTGGGGTTACCTTATAGGATCCTAATTATATATTTGGTTAAACCCAAAAAAAGGAACTACAATGGAGACTATAGGAACCAGGGAGTCTTAGGTTAGGGTCTCCATGGTTCTAAGGGCTCCATGGTTCTAGGGCCAAGAAGTCTAGCGGTTTATGGACTTTAGGGGTTTATGGGTTTTCGGGGTTTATGGGCTTTAGGGGTTTATGGGTTTTCGGGGTTTATGGGCTTTCGGGGTTTATGGGTTTTCGGGGTTTATGGGCTTTCGGGGTTTATGGGCTTTAGGGGTTTATGGGTTTTAGGGGTTTATAAAGTACAAGTATACACTTCTATTTTGTATTGGCTCCTTTAAGGAATGGGTCCTAAAATCCGTACAGACTTTAATTCTCTGGTTCCGTTAAGGAGCAGGGCCCCCAAAAAAGTATGAAGGTATTGTAGCTCCAGAGAAACCCTAAACCCCAAAACACAACTATGAAGGCATTTTTAACCCCAAAGAAGCCCTAAACCGAAAACCCTAGAACCCTAAACCCTCGCACCCTGCAGCCTAAGCCCTATACCTTAACCTACCAAACCCCACCTTTTTGTAGCTTCTTATTCTAAACCCTAATCTGGAGTTTATAGGAACCCTACTTTTTTGGGTAGGTTTTGGTAGGTTAGGGTATACTCTAGGTATCGTAACTTCCGAGCCCAGAGACCGCAGCCATGAACTTGGAATCTTCCACTCGGTTCCAATTTCCCTCGAGCCTCGGATCATGGGCCCCTTTGGAGGGTTCTATATATATATATATATATGACCATATATATATATATATATATATATATATATATATATATATATGTATTCTGGGGGGCTTAGTACAGGGTTTAGGGTTCTATGTAATATGGGGGGGCTTAATTAGTACAGGGTTTAGGGCAGGTTTTCTATAAAGTTGTATTCTGCGGGGGGGGGGGGGGGGGGCTCTTAGTAGGGGGGGTGTTATGGTACTTTTTAAGGCTTCTATATACCAGGGATGGTTTTGCGGGGTTTGCTCTTCGAACTGCATGCCAGGGATCAGCACCACCAACACTAAAAGCGTCATCATCAGTAACACTAACCTGGCAATGAGACTACGGCCACAACAGGCACGAAGGACACTGCAAGACGGCGGATGCTACCATTAGAAGGCGATGGAACCATCTCAAAGTTTTATGGTCAGTGTTCCACACCTTGGTCTGAAAATGATGTAACTAGTTGCGTGTGTGTTTGTGAACTGTGTGTGTATTTACATGAAACTACCTGTGCCTCTGTTCCCGATATCACATCGGGACAACGGCTACACCGTTGCCTGTCTGCTCCAAGCCAAGATCATGATAGCGCGCTAATGATACATGCTACTGCCATAAAGTTGTTGATGATGATGCTGGTGATGATGACGGTTACCATAATGATCGATATTGTGCTGCTGAATACTAATGTTGTTACCCTAAGGGTCCATGTACGCAAACAGTATATACTTTGGTCACAAAGTACCTATATAGGGACGACTTTAAGGCCACAGTAGATACTCTTTGGGCACGTGGACCCTTATTAGGGTGCAACCCTAAACTCTAGACACCTAGACCTTCAAGCCTAAACCCCTAAACCTTAAACCCTAAACCTTAAACCCTAAACCTTAAACCCTAAACCCCTAAACCTTAAACCCCAAACCTTTATCACAAGTAGCCCTGCCGGTCTCACTGGGCCCCCGTAAACCGAAAAGTTTCGAAAGCCAGAGCTGCCGGACCAGCAGGTCATCAGAACCAGTGATTACCATGGGGACCACTTCGCTCCTAGAGTTAAAGGTTTAGGGTTTAGGAATAGTATTATGAGTTTCAGCTTGTATTCCTATTGGGTTTAGGTACTTAATAAAAACTTGACATGTTACTCAACTATGACAAAGGCTCGTGGCGGAGGCTGCAGTTACCACAGCTTCCTGCGATCCTTCATCTGCCCGGTTAACGCAGTTGACGCAGCAGACTTGCCCCCACATTCCATTGGCGGCGGCGCGAGGCCAGGGGATCTTGCAAAAGTATCTATCTACAGAATCTCAGTTCATAGTCTAGGACTCAGAATCTCAGGTCGTAGTCTAGGATTTGGTGACATTCCGGACCCTTCCTTATATGTCGGCAACTGTCTCTTGGGGCTCCATCCGTGAGACCTTGAACACGTTCCCGGACATGCCGAGCTCGCATTTCACGTGCAGCCTGATGAAGATCTATGTCGAATCGCCGACAATGCTTGAGCTATTTAGAAGTAACGTAACGCCTGGGGGAATATGGTCGTCCTGTCATGCGAACATTGGGGTTACAAGCTTGGCAAGAGTCCTAATCTTGATTGTAAACCATGAAACAGCCCGAAACTGTCGCAAAGTCCTGCCTCTATCTGCTTGCACCCTCCCCAAACCCTAAATCCCAAACCCTAAACCCCTAAACCCTAAACCCTAAACCCCTAAACCCTAAACCCTAAACCCTAAACCCTAAACCCCAAACCATAAACCCTAAGCCCTAAACCCTAAACCCTTTCTCCGCGCCTCCTCTTGGAAAGATTCGGCCACGTAGGGATCCTCGACCTCGTCCGTGCAACCCTGAGGGTTTATATGGGAGTTTCCGAAAATAAAGAAGGGGACCTAGGTAGTATTATTTGGGAGACCCCTTAAAGGGTACCCCTTCTGAACCCTACTTCTGGCTCTCTTAAACGGGGCCTTATTGAGAGGGTCTATATCCCCAAGGGTCCCCCTAATCCTAACTCCCAGGACCCGAATGTAGGATCCAGACTAATTATATCAACCCCAAAATAGGGTACCCCTAATTTTCGGAAACTCCTGTATAGGGCTTATAGGGTTTGGAACAGTTGAGGCCTTAAGTCTAGAACTGCAAAGCTCCACAGCGTACCGAAACCCAAGCGCCCAACCCTACACGCAGGTTGCTTTTGGGGGCCGGAAGATCTAAAAGCAATTCAGAGTGTTGGATTTAAGTCCTAGCTTACTCTACCCAGAGGCCCCGAAGTAGTTCCTTTTTGGGATTACCTAATAAGATTCTATATACGAACCCCAAAAAAGAACTACTTTGGGGCCTTTGGGTACCTCTCATCCGAGCAGCCCTACATCGCGAAATCAGTGCATAGATGGGTAGTTGTCAATAATATGGTCCCTTTTTGTGTACCTTAAATATTAGGTGCCGTATTACCCATAGGCCCCAAAGTAGTTCCTTTTTGTGATTACCTTTTAGGATTCTATATACGAACCTCAAAAAGGAACTACTTTGGGGCCTTAGGGTAGATACTTAGGACCCTTTGGGTTATTGCCCTAAACCCTAACCCCTAACCCCTAAACCCTAAACCCTAACCCCTAAACCCTAAACCCTAACCCCTAAACCCTAAACCCTAAACCCCTAAACCCTAAACCCTAAACCCTAACCCCTAAACCCTAAACCCTAAACCCTAACCCCTAAACCCTAAACCCTAAACCCTAAACCCCTAAACCCTAAACCCTAACCCCTAAACCCTAAACCCTAAACCCTAAACCCCTAAAGCCTAAACCCTAACCCCTAACCCCTAAACCCTAAACCCTAAACCCCTAAACCCTAAACCCTAACCCCTAAACCCTAAACCCTAAACCCTAAACCCCTAAGGACCCCAAAAGGGACCATTATGTTGACAATCGGTTCAGATCCTCGGGTGCATGCGGCGGCTTCTATCGCCGTTCTTTTCAGAGCCCTGGAGGTTTAGAGTTTAGACGCTTTTGGTTGAGGGTTTCGGGTTTAGGGTTTAGGGTTTCGGGTTTAGGGTTTAGGGTTTCGGGTTTAGGGTTTCGGGTTTAGGGTTTCGGGTTTAGGGTTTCGGGTTTAGGGTTTAAGGTTTCGGGTTTCGGGTTTAGGGTTTCGGGTTTCGGGTTAAGGGTTTAGGGTTTAGGGTTTCGCGTGTCGGGTTTAGGGTTTGGGCTTCAGGTCAGTTTCCTGACAAGTTGCTACATCGTCGGCAGGCTCGTCCAGCGCATCCTGGCTCTCCTTCGGCACCGAGCGGCTGCTAACATAGGAAACCTGATACTTAAAGTAACTAGAATAGGGTCTTGGGGTATGTAGATGGTTACAGCTCTATCACGGAACCCTATCACAACAGCGTGTGTTTTTACTTATTCAAGCCGACATGGTAAGTACATGAACTAGACAGCTTGGAAATTGCACTACAATCCTTACCCAACTTAGTACAATGATGCATGCCCTCAGGCCCTAAACCCCAAACCCTAAAACCTAAACCCTAAAGCCCATAAAACCGAATGCCCTCCTAAACCCTATGACCTCGAATCTCGATTGATTCCATATTCCCATAAAGTAGTCCCTAAACCCATTCCCCATTCCCTACTAAGCTAAGCCGAAGCCTTTAAGATGTTGAGACTGCGCCCTTCACCCAAAAAGTGACAGCGCACAATTTAGGGATTAAAATGTGCAACAAGCACGTGAAGTGATGCAGGAGTGTTTTCGTATATCCCGCATCGCTGCATTCAGAATATTCTACGCAGACCCTAAATGAACAGTGGGATTCTCAATACAGGGCCCTACAGCTTGCGAAATCAGGGCACCCAGCTGTAAGGAGCTGGAGGACTAATCAACAATCACGCTATTGCCTGGGTCCACTTGCGACTTGAAGGAACGTTTCTGCAGAGTCCTCAGCGCTCTGGGCGCCGAGACGCGGTTTGTGCTGCACATCAGCATTCCATCTTGAAGTAGCGTGTTTGCCCAAACTCGGGTGCAGTCATGACCATGCGATGCACACAGTACTCCCGGGAACATGTTTTGCACAGGCTCCAAAAAAACCCATGAATGCTGGGAACTATACCGGGCTACTGTTAATTACTAACCGTCCCTCATCCCTAAACTTAGAGCCCTTCCCGTAAGCACAAACCACTTAGCCCCTATCCCTATGGGTGAATGTGCTCATACGTTGGCCCCAAAGTACCTAAAAAGGGACTACTTTACGGCCAACGCATGTATTGTTTGGGCACATGGCTCCTTATACCTTCAACCCTATAGAACCCTGAAACAAACCCTTAAAGGAACTCCTAAAGGGACCCTATTTGGGCACATGGATAGCGGATAGCCCTTTGGGTATACTACCTGAGCCCTCAAGTCCAAGACCCCACGCGAAGCATGCTCCTCTGCCCCAGGAACTTCCTTGCGCGGTGCGGAAGAACTTTCCGGACCGATAGACACATACTAGATTGGTAGAGAGATAGATGCCCGGTGGAGCGGTGGATCGCCAGATGCAGACAGATGGACATATAGTTGAATCTGTTGTCCCAAACTGAACCCGAAATCGGTGTGCATGCCTGCAGGTCTCGGGTTTATCGGGCTCTCCACATGGATCCGTAGTCTATAACAGCAATAGAAACAGAATGCCAGCAGTAGAAACGAATGGTGCCGACCCGGCGGCGACGAGGTTGATACTTCTGCTGCGGCTGCTGCTGCTGAGGCAGGGGTAATGTGCCCCCCATCATACGCGCCATCAATGTATACATCTCATGCCTATCGTCGTTGTCCGCGCTGCCACCGCAATGATGCTGATAAGTGTGATATCCTTATGATTTGTGTTGCTTCTGCAGCTTGCATCGCCATCAGCCTTTCATCAACATTCGTCTTCACATGCATCATCATGATGACCTTCATCGCTATTTCCAGGTGCAACATTCATCATAGTTCCCATCATGAAGATTCATAGTCGCCATCATATTCCTCATTGTCGCCTCCTGGCCCTCCATCATCATCATCATCTTTAGGTTCTTTAGATGCAACCATTTAACTTGTGCCCTCCGGTAGCATGTCGTGTTTCTCCGCACCTTCTTTTCTGAATGAATCTGATAGCAGGAACACCTGTGCAAAGGGTGCAGATACAAGGAAGATTGGAGTAGTCCAGTGCGCCTACGTCTGTCTTCACATCCCCGAAGCCCTGGAAGCGTCCCGCGACAAGATGTAAACCCGCCAGTAAACAACCAAAACCCGAATCCCATCAAGGAAGATTGCTGAACTCTCCGAAAACCCTCAGCTCTTAACGCCCATAAACCCCAAATTCTGCAAGCCCTAACCCTAATACCCAAAGGCCTTGACATGCCCGAAAGAAGCCCATAGTTCCTAAGTCTCTCAGCTAAGCATCATCGGGAATCGGCCCGTCGAAGCCCAGTTGCCGTACCCAGTACCTCGGTTTTGGGGTTTCAGGTTTCGGGTTTAGAGGTTTAGGGGTTCAGGGCTTCAGGGTTGAAGACTTGGGCTTTAGATACGGTTTCGCTTAGGGTCCATTTAGGCTAAAGAGGCACCAGGGCCTAGTCTAGCCCTTCAAAGTCGCAGGTGGAGGGTCGAGGGAAACACAGTGAAGAGTACCTGTAGCAAGCACACTATAGGCTCGCTATTCCAGTCTGAATCGGGAAGGTTTGTTAAGCAAGGGCTCCACTAGGCCCCTTCGTTCTTGTACGAGGGTTTCAGGGTCTACACTAGTATACCAAACTATGTATATACCACAAACCCTGAACCCCTAACCGTTTAAACCTTATGTAGGGGCTGGAAGGCAACACACTTGCCAATTTATGCGGCCCCCAAGTTAGATCAGGGGACGGGCGTCTGTGGAACTGTCGAGAAAGCGCGGCCGTCATTCGTGCAAGATTCGGGTATGGAGTTTAGTTTAGGGTTGAGTTTAGGGGTTTCGGGTTTTGGGCTGGGAAGATTCCTTGGAAACACAACTTAAAGGCGTGGAGTGCAGACCCTTTCTCCACAATGCAGAAGATAGACTCGCATGCAAGTGGGCTTCCATGCGTTCTAGTTCGTACAGAGGGCAAGTTGTTCGAAACACCAGTTCAATTCAAGTCCACTCGTCTGAACAATGCTTACCCCTTAAACACGACAAGCTGCTTGAAACAACTTGTGAAACTACAGGGACACCCTGCCCTAAACCCTAGACACCCGGTAAATCACAGCGATCGCATGCCTTTTACATCACCCGGGACAT